ATCATCATCATCATCATCATCATCATCATCATCATCATCATCATCATCATCATCATCATCATCATCCTCATCCTCATCCTCATCCTCATCCTCGGCCCCGCGGCTCAGGCCCTCGCCACGCCCACCGTCGTTGACCTGCCTGCGCCGCTCGAGGCACCCGCGGAGGCCTGCGCGGGGCGGCGGGGCCTGGGCGAGTGGATCCCACACGGCGGGTCGTCCTCCGCTCTTCCGGGGGGCGCTGCAGGGAGGTCTTCGGCCTGCTCCCCCTCCTCCTCCTCCACCTCCTTCCTCCTCTCCTCCTCCTCCTCTTCCTCCTCCTCCTCACTCCTCCTCCCCCGCCTCCTCCTCCTCCTCTCCTCATCCTCCTCCTCCTCCCCTCCTCCTCCTCCTCCTCCTCCTCCTCGCTCTTCCTCCTCTGCCTCCTCTTTCCCTCCACTCCTCCTCCCTCCTCCCTCCTCCTCCTCCTCCTCCCCTCCTCCTCCTCCTCCTCCTCCTCCTCCTTCTCTTCCTCCTCCTCCTCCTTCTCGTCCGCGTCCTCGTTTTTCTCCTCCCCCTTCTCCTTTTCCTCCTCCTCCTCCTCCTCCTTTTCCGACGGATCTTGCTCGCGTCGTGAGCAGAGACAGCAGGGATCACGACGGAGTCGGTGGTTTTCTGGGGACCATCGCGGGGCCCCGGAGCCGCGAACAGAACGGCTCGGGACGGGAAGTTGGCCCTGAGGAGCGGTTCGGGATCTCCGTGGGGGCCCGCACTGCAAAAGTCAAGGCATCGGATGCCAAGGGAGAGGGCCTCAGAGCCTTCGGGGGATCCAGACGAAGGTGGGGAAGCAAACAAATAACCATACCGCTGCTCCACGGGCCTCTCCTGGGGCGCGCTGTGACCAGGATGTCGCGGCGCCTCCGGCCGTAGTGAGGAGGGAAGGGTAGCGGCATCCATGCCGCCGCCTCTGAGAGAGCGCAAAGCATAGACGGGTCGTCGTCGTCGTCCTCCTCCTCCTCCTCCTCCTCCTCCTCCTCCTCCTCCTCCTCCCCACACTGGAGCGCTGCAGAGAGGGTCTCCACCGTCGGGGGATCCAGGGGTCGCCGGCTCTTCTTCGTCGGAAGGCAGCGGAGGGTCATCGACCTTTTCGTCGCCAGCTGGGGAGCTGCAGCAAGGGCAGCGGCCGTTGAGGGATCGGGGCGTCAGCCCACAGCAGTCGCCGTTTCAGCGTCTCCCTGCTGGCCACTCCCTGGGTTCGGCAGCTTCTCGCGGCCAGTCCCTGCGCTCCTCCGCCCCGCAGGCATCGGCCGCCCCTCCTGCGGAGGTGCCGAAGCCGATCGAGGCGCCAGCGGCGGGGTGACAGGAGGTATCCCATCGAAGAAGAAAGAATCATGAACAGAAACTTTTGGCGCTGATTTCTTGGATCCGCGCCTGGGCCCCGCGGCCGCGCCTCTGGAGCCGCCCCTGGCGCGCTCCGCGCGCCAGTGAGGGGGGTCCAGCGCGAGTCCAAGAAATCCGCGCGGCGCGCCAAAAGTTTATCTTTATGGCGTTTTTCTTTTTTCTATAACAGGAGGTATCCCAGACTTCCAGCGTCGACGGGATTGAGGATCAAGTTTTTTGGGGCGTTCGTGGGGCGTCTGGGGCGCCCCCGTGGCCGTATCGGCCTTGACGTTCCGGCCAGAGCGCCCCCTCTGGACAGGTCCAGCGGTGGACTGTTGACCCAGACCTACAAGGCCTCGAGCCAATCATGGCGGCGTTTTTATCATAATGTTCGGCATCTGGGGGTATGTCTCCGGGCCCACAACCTTTCACAAAGTGTCACTGCTCGAAAAGGCGGTGCCCGGGAAGGTGCCGAAAGCTCATTCCTTGGATCGACGTAGAGCCCGGGGGGGAAGTGAGAAGGGGCGGGCCTTCTCAGAAGGCTCGGAAGTCCCCCAGACTTCTCAGACGTTCTCTAAGCTTTCCCCGAAGACACAGACAACTTTTCAGGAGGTGCGAGGGTTTCTGAGAAGTGCCGCCGCCTTCTGAGGAAGGCCTCCTCCTCCTCCTTTCCTCTCCTCGATCGCCACTTATTGGAGGCGCGCCCGGCGACTGGGCATGGCGAGGCAGCTTGCATCGGAAGCGCACCGGGCGCTCCGGAGAGCGCCCGGCGGGGCAAGTGCAATGCGGCAGCTGAACTCAGCGGTTGCTGGATTTGCCACTGCTTGCTCGCAGTCATCCCAATCGTCCACCGCGCTTTTGTGTTCCCAATTCTCCTATCCCCTCTCCCTCCTCTCCCTCCCCCCATTCTCCCTCCCCTCTCCTGCCTCCTCCCTCTTTTTATTTTTTCTCTCTCTCTCTCTCTCTCCCCTCTCTCTCTCTCGCTTTCTCTAATTACCTGTCTCTTCTCTCTCTCTCTCTCTCTCTCTCCCTGTCCCTCTCTCTACCTCTAATCAACCGCCCCCCTCTTCGCTCCTTCTCTCCTGGCGTTTTCCCTTGTCCTTCGTCCCTCCCCCTCTCTTCCTCCCGCTCTCCCTCGTTCTCCCCCTCTTCTGTTTGCAGGGCCCACACCAATTCCAATGGCGGGCACATGTATGCCCGCGAAGGATTGTCCGCCCGTTCAGGTTTGCCCGCCTGTCTAAGCCCGCCGCCCCCCGCAAAGAGGAAGAATCTCCCCAAAGGGGGTGTGACCGAAGGCATAAAGGGCGGGTGTCCAGGGTGTGGGGGACTCGTTTGGAATCACACACGGGCAAGTAAGAACGAACAAATGTAGAATGATTGTTGTTGTTGCTGTTGTTGCTGTTGTTGCTGTTGTTGTTGTTGCTGTTGTTGGTGTTGCTGCTGGTGTTGTTGCTGCTGCTGCTGTTGTTGTTGTTGTTGTTGGTGGTGGTGATGGTGGTGTTGTTGCTGCTGCTGCTTGTGTTGCTGTTGTTGTTGGTGGTGCTGTGGTTGTTGTTGGTGGTGTTGGTGAACTTGTTGTTGTTGTTGTTGTTGTTGTCGTCGTTGTTGTTGTTGTTGTTGATTATGTAATTGTTGTTGTAATTGTTGTCGTTGTTGATGCTGCTGCTGTTGCTGTTGTTGTGTTCCGTTTTGCGACCGCACGGGTCATTGCCGGTGTTTGCAGTTGCAGGTGAATCCCCAATTTTTCCCCCCAGACGACCCCCTCTTCAATTTGCTTGTTTGTGTGTGTGTGCATGTGTGATCACGTCCCCCCTCGCCCAGGCTGCTGCTGAGCCGCCCGCGGATACGCCAGAGCCGCCAGAGTCACCAGCGGAGGCGCGCGGGGCGGGAAAGCAGGGCGGGGGCGTTCTCCTCATGCTCCTCCTCGTCTTGACCCTGCTGCTGGTGGTTTTCTTCTTCGTCCTTCATTTGATCTGGCAACTCCTCCCTTGCCCCGTGGTTGACGAAGTGGCACTACTTGGTGGTCAGGCATGTGCTCGTGAGTTTTGTTGCCGATGCGTATGCATTTTGCGCATACTCGTTGAGCGGCGCTCAAGTTCCGGTGCAGGTCGGAGAAAGGGGCTGCGCAAGCTGTCTGGGCGCCTCGATAGGGCGTGGCGTGGGCTTCACCCCGCGACCAGGATACCTCTACACGACCACAGCCGGCTGTCCGTCAGGACGGCAGCGCAATGGGAACCGTGTGAATTTGGTATTGTGCCACGGGCGTGGTTGTTTACATTTTCAGGTGAGATTTCCCCGTCTTCTCTTTTTCCCTTACCCGACCGCCTCCCCGATGCATGTGCCTGTCGCCTCCTGCCCAGGCTCCTGCTGAGCCGCCCGCGGATACGCCAGAGCCGCCAGAGGCACCAGCGGAGGCGCGCGGGGCGGGAAGGCAGGGTGGGGGCGTCCTTCGTCTTCTTGTCCTTCCAGCAAATTAACCCCTTCCTTGTCGCACCACCAGAGGTGGCGTCTGGGCGGGAAAGCAGGGCGGGGGGCGTCCTCCTCATCCTGCTCTTCGTCTTGATCCTGCCGCTGTTAGTTTCCTTCCTCGTCCTTCGTTTGATCCGGCAGCTCCTCCTTTGCCCCTGGGCTGACGGCATGCCCCCTTTGCTCTCTCTCTCTTCTGTTCCCTCGCCTCCTCTCCGCTTGCTCCCTCTCCTCGACTGCTTCCTGTCTCCTCAAGACCCTGCTGCGACTCCTCGTTCCTCGTCCTCGTCCTCCTCTTGGCCCTGCTCCTACCGTTCCCTCCCTGCTCCTTCCGCACCGACCCCCCCGTCACCCATCATCGGAGCCCCTCCCCAGTTTGCCCTCCGCCCGATGCGCAGGCTCCTGCTGTGCCTCCCGCGGACACGCTGGAGCCACCCGAGGCACCAGCGGAGGCGCGCAGGGCGGGAAGGCATGCAGGGCGGAGGCCTCCTCCTCGGGATCCTGCTGTTGCTGCTGCCCGTCCTCCTTCTCTTCCTTGTGGTTCCTCGACCACGAGCACGGGGGTGGCACGATTGTTGGCATGTGTACCCGCGAGGCGAGGAACACTAGTTGGTGGTCAGGGATCTGCGCGCGAGTTTTGTCGCCGATGCGCATGCTTTTTGCGCCTCCTCGCTGAGCGGCGCTCAAGCTTCCGTGCAGGTCGGAGAAGGGGTTGCGCAAGCTGTCTGGGCGCCTCAGTAGGGCGTGGCGCGGGCTTCACCCCGCGACCAGGATACCTCTACACGTCCCCAGCCGGCTGTCCAGCGGGACGGCAGCGCAATGGGAACCGTGTGAAGCTGGTACTGTACCACAGGTGTTGTTGTTCGCCTGACGCCCGCAGGGGACCATGCCGGCCTTTACAGTTTCAGGTGAGATTTCCCCGTCTTCTCCTCTTTTTCCCTCACCCGACCGCCTCCCCGATGCGTGTGTTTGTCCCCTCTCGCCCAGGCTCCTGCTGAACCGCTCGCGGATACGCCAGAGGCACCAGCGGAGGCGCGCAGGGCGGGAAGGCAGGGTGGGGTGTTCTCCTCATGCTCCTCCTCGTCCTTCATTCGATCTGGCAGTTCCTCCCTTGCCCCGTGGCCGACGAAGGTGCACTAGTTGGTAGTCAGGGATCTGCTCGCGAGGTTTGTCGCCGATGCTTCTGATTTTTGCGCATACTCGCTGAGCGGCGCTGAAGCTTCCGTGCAGGTCGGAGAAGGGGCTGCGCAAGCTGTCTGGGCGCCTCAGTAGGGCGTGGCGCGGGCTTCACCCCGCGACCAGGATACCTCTACAAGTCCACAGCCGGTTGTCCAGCGGGACGGCAGCGCAATGGGAACCGTGTGAAGCTGGTACTGTGCCACAGGTGTTGTTGTTCGCCTGGAGATTGTTTTTTTATCCTCTGGGGGGTAACGCTCGTTACCCGGGCCTCTCCCCCCCCCCCCCCCGGTAACGGTAACGCTCGTACGCGGGGGGGGTCTCGGTCTTCCCCTCCAACATGCTGGTGCCCGAAGGCATGCGCACTGTGGTGTGGTGGTCGCAGGCGCACTGTGGGCGCTCGCAGGCCATTGCGGCGCTCGCATGCGCGATGCTGGTGCTTGCGGGCTTTGCGCTTGTACTCGAATCGTCGTCGTCGTCGTCGTCGTCGTCGTCGTCGTCGTCGTCGTCGTCGTCGTCGTCGTCGACGGCGCCCGAAAACGGCCTCCGGAGGCCGAAACAGGCGGCAAACGTCGTCGTCGTCGTCGTCGACCTCGTCGCTCGTCGCTCGTCGATCATCGTCGTCGCGCGCGCGGGCGCGGGCGTGGTGCCGGGACCACGCGGCGGGCTTTGCGCTTGTACTCGAATCGCAAGCCACTGTGGTGCTCTCAGGCAGAGAGTGCTGCTCGCGCGCATACTATGGCGATCGCAGAGCGCCCCTGCTTCGCCATACCCCGCCCAGCCCAAGCGTTACCGTTACCCGGGGGGCACGACCCCCCCCCCCCCCCCGGGTAACGAGCGTTACCGGCCGGAATAAAAAAATGATCTCCTGACGCCCGCCGAGGACCATGCCGGCCTTTACAGTTTCAGGTGAGATTTCCCCGTCTTCTCCTCTTTTTCCCTCACCCGACGGCCTCCCCGATGCGCGTGCCTGTCGCCTCCTGCCCAGGCTCCTGCTGAGCCGCTCGCGGATACGCCAGAGCCGCCAGAGGCACCAGCGGAGGCGCGCGGGGCGGGAAGGCAGGGTGGGGGCGTCCTTCGTCTTCTTGTCCTTTTTGCTAACCCCTTCCCTATCGCACCACCAGAGGCGTCGTCAGGGCGGGAAAGCAGGGCGGGGGCGTCCTCCTCATCCTGCTCCTCATCTTGATCCTGCCGCTGTTAGTTTCCTTCCTCGTCCTTCGTTTGATCCGGCAGCTCCTCCTTTGCCCCTTGGCTGACGGCATGCCCCCCTTGCTCTCTCTCTCCTGCTCCCTCGCCTCCTCTCCGCTTGCTCCCTCTCCTCGACTGCTTCCTGTCTCCTCAAGACCCTGCTGCGACTCCTCGTTCCTCGTCCTCGTCCTCTTGGCCCTGCTCTTCCGTAGCCATTTTGGCTCAAGATGCTTTGTTCCACAGGGGAACACGTGGATACCGCTAGTCCGCGGCCAGTGCCAGGGTGTTTCTGCCCGACAGTTTTGCTTCCGCCTCTCCTAGCCCTGTGGCTGGCCTCGTTGCTCTCCAGAGTAGGCGAGGGACCATGGCGCCTGGAGGCCGCGGCGGTGGTGGCGGCGAGGGCAAGCCTGACTGGTACTGCCGTTTCTGCAAGTATGAGCGCGGGCCCAAGATCGGGATGCCATGCATCACGTTCGGTTCCAAGCAGCTATGTCACTTCTGCGGCGGCGCCAAGGACCGCACCTTCCTGGGCCACGTCCGAGGGGAGGAGGGGCTGCGCCGTGGCCACAGTGGCACCACCGGTGCTGGTGGGGGTGCAGGCGCCGCTGGGCAGCACTTCGCCTTGCAGCGGGAGGTCACCAGGCTGCGTGAGGAGCTCAAGACGTTGCGGGCGGAGGGCAAGAAGGGCCCTGCGGCGGAGGCGCCCAGCGGCGCTGAGGCTGAGGAGAGCGCAGAGGGAGGCGACGAGCAACGCAAAATCGAACATCTTGATGGCCAGCTACGTGTGCTGCGTAGTCTCTCCGACCCAGGGAAAGACATCCTCGACACGATCGAGAGGATCGCGGCCCAGCGGCAGGTCTTGGCCGAGCAGGTGCGTGCCAAGAAGCCCGTGGTCGCGCAGCTGCTCATTCTCCAGAAGAAGCTCAAGTCCAAGCAGGACGCCATCAGCAAGCAGGACGCGGCGGTGGCCAAGGCGCAGGAGGCAGTCACCAAGGCGCAGGCTGCGCTGGAGGCCGAGCGCGAGACGGGCAGCAAGCTGCGTGGTGATGAGGGCGAGCTGGAGGAGCAGTTGCGGGCGCTCAGTGCCCAGGTGCCCAGGCCACCAGATGCGAAGGAGTCCGAAGGGGCCCCAGGTGGGGCGCCAAACCTCGACGTCCTGGCCGACCTGCTCAAGGAGTTGGGGGCGTCGGGCGAGGTCACTGAGAAGTTCCTGGCCCACCCCAAGTTCGCGTCGTCGTTCGGCCCCAGGGCTGCGACGCGTGTGCGTCCTGCTGGCGACCTGGATCCTGGTGGCGTGGCGGCGGCACCGCCCGACGTCAAGAGGCTGCGCACGGTGGCCGACAAGGCGCCACTCGAGCAGCTGCGCGACAGCATCGAGGCCGCAGGGTTCAAGGTCCCCACAGAGGAGGCGGAGATCAGGGCAAAGGCGCACCAGATCGCGGCAGCGGCCAGTGCGTGGGCCTATCGTGCCTACTAGGCGTCGGGGGCCGAGCTTTGGTGTTTTCTGGAGTACCTTGTTCAGTATGATGATGTGAGTTTCTGGTAATACAAAGCACGGTGGCAGTTCGGATGCTGTCAAAGGCGTGTTGACCACGGTCAACGTTTCATGTGCGAGAGGGCTGACCGAGTACCTCGCTGGCGACCCGAAGGGTGGCATCTTCGGCGTGCAGGAGCATCGTGTCTTGGGCGACAGGTTGGGCCCCTTGCAAGGCCAGGTGAAGGACTTGGGATTCCATGGTCTGTGGGCCCCAGGCATGGCCACAGGCAGTGGCCCACTGGATGTCTCGGGTGGCGTCGCGCTCCTCACGCGCAACGTCATCCCCGTGACGGCGCCGCCCTTCATGCCGGCCCACGTTCTGGAGGAGGCGCGCGTGTTGGCGGGCCACGCGCACTGGGGCGCAAAGGGAGGGCTCATCGTCGTCGTGGCCTACTTGAGGCACTCCGTAGGCACGGGCGACGGCAACTCAGATACGGTCCACGAGCTGCAGCGCTACCTCAGGGTGCTCAACGCACGCGGGCTGGACTGGGTGGCCATGGGCGACGGGAACATGGAGCTGGGCGAGTTGAAGGGGCCATGGCTCGAGCAGGTGCGGGGCATCCCGATCGCCCCGACAGGGCCGACGCGCTGGCAGTCGGTGGAGGGCCCATGCCTGCACTACCTCATCGCGGCGCCGAACCTGGACCCGAGGCTAGGCGAGGCTTGGGTCACGACGGATGCGGCGCTGCACCCGCACGTCCCCGCGCACGTGAACCTGGCCACGGTCGACCGCGAGTCCTCTGTCAGGGTCGCCGTCGAACCGCGGGGGTTCGCTGCGGTGCCGCCTGTGGGCGCGGCGCCCTTCCCTCATGACCGAGGGTGGCGGGCGGCGCTGCAGCACGTCCTCGCGGCGGAGGAGCTTGGGCGCCTGGCGCGGGCGTGGGGCGCAGTCGTCAGCATGGCGGAGGCCGAGCTCTGCAGCCGCTGGTATCTCGTGGGGGCTGAGAGGCGGCAGCGCACGGGCAGGGCGGGCGAGCCTGTCTTCAAGCTGGCCCAGCCGACGCGGCAGCCGCCGCGACGGAGGAAGCTGTACGACCCGAAGGTCAGCGCCCACATGGTGGCGGCGAGGTGGGCTCGGCATCTGGATGCAGCCCGCTCGCGCTTGGTCAAGCTGCTGGCGTGCGACCTGGACGACCGCGTCGAGCGGGCAGTTGACCTCGTCCTCGAGACTCACCGTTACTACGGCAACGTGGCGAAGTCGCAGCGTGTGCTTGGCCAGCTCTCTGAGGACGTCGCGCAGTGGTTCTCGGGCGGCGTGGCCCAGATGAGCAAGGGGACATGGGCCGCCAAGGTCGAGAGGGTCGTGGCGGAGGCCGATAGGTGCACCAGGCGCTACAATGGGGGGCGTGGGAAGGAATGGCGTGCGTGGGCAGCCAGGAGCCTCACAGGCGGTGCGAGTGCTGCGCACCGCTTCACGAGGCTACCCCCTGAGGCTGAGGTCCGCGGGGCCACCGCGAAGGCCAGCCCGCGCCAGATGGCTGACCGCGAGCTCGACGGTTGGAAGGAGGCGTGGACAGTCCATGAGCAGGGCGCCCTGGAGAAGCCACCTGATTTCGAGGATTGGGCCGAGCTTCCGCGGATGAGCATCGGTCACCTTCGACGTGCAGCGCGGTGTTTCAAGGAGCTCACTGCGGTGGGCCAGTCGGGCATCGCCCCGCGGGCCCTCTGGCATCTCAGCGACATCGGCCTTTACGTGCTGTCAGCGCTCTTCAGTCAGTGTGAAAAGCTGGGGGGCGTGGCCGACGGACAGGGTGTACACAGTGCTGGTGCGCCTGCCCAAGGCGAGCGGGGGATGCAGGCTGATTGCCCTTGTGAGCTCCTTCCTCCGTCTGTGGGCGAAGGCGCGCTCGACGATTCCACGCGCCTGGCTCGACCAGGCGGACGTGCCAAATCTCTGGGGCACTGGTGGGGCTGGCAAGACCTCGACCGCTGCAGCGTTCCATCGCAACCTTACGGCTGAGATCATGACCATCAATGGAGGGCACAGCGTCACGGTGCTCCTGGATGCGTGGAAGGCGTTTGGCAGCCTGATCCGAGGCAGGCTGCTGGAGGAGGCTCGGGCCATGGGGGTTCCGCTCCGTCTCATGTGGGCCATCCTCAAGTACCACCATCTGCCGAGGCGCATCAAGGCGTTCGGCTCGACGTCGAAGAGTTTCACGGCGCACCAGGGCATCCTGGCGGGCTGCTCCCACTCGATGGCGGTGCTGGTGGTGGCGACGGCGCGGGCGTTGAAGCGGCTCGCGACGTATGACGTGGTCCCGCGCACGCTCGCCAACGACACCTCGGCGCAGTGGATCGGCACGGACCTGAGAGGTGTGCGAGTACTGTGGCAAGCCGTCAAGCGTTTCAAGCACGATGCCGGGGATGTTGGCCTCGTGCTGCAGGAGCTCAAGTCGGGCTACGTGGCGACGTCCAGGCGGAGTCGTGATGCAGCGGCGCAGTATGCCAGGCAGCTCAGGATGGGATCGCAGCCGCACATGAGGAACCTGGGCCACGACCTGAACGGGACCAGGGCCTGCAGGAGAGTCGTCAAGGCCAGGCTCAAGAACGTGAGGCCGCGGCTGAGGCGCGCGGAGAAACTACGACGTGCTGCTGGAGGGCGTGCGGCGCGCCTGTGGCAGACGGGCCTGCTGCCTGCTGCCGCCCACGGGGCCGCGGTGAGTGGCGCGTCCCCCTCCGAGCTGGTCGCGCTGCGCTCGGAGGCGGCCCGACTCGCTGGAGCCAAGGGCCGAGGTGGAAGCAACACGCTCTACCTGGCCAGCGAGAGGAACCCGTGGCACGACCCAGTCTTCGCGGCAACTGTTGAGCCGCTCATGCACTACGCTGCGGTCGTGTGGAGGCATGCGGTGTCCATGAGTGCGCTAGAGAAGGCCTGGAGGGTGACGCTGGACAGGGTCGAGGCGGGCGAGGACAAGCTGACGTGGGCCTCGGCACGTGGGCCGCTCAAAGTGGCCGTCCTGTCGCTCAAGCGGATTGGCTGGGCGATGTTGTCGTCGGTGCTGATTCAGCCTGGTGTGGGGCCAGTGATTTCGCTTCTTGCCACGTCGCCTCGCTTTTTTCGCGACCTCCTGAGGCAGGGTGTTCAGCGGTGGCAGATGCGCCAGATTGCCTCTCACCATGACGCGGCCGTGCCTCTATGGCCGCGAGGCCTGCGAGCGCGCGCGGGCGGGAGGGGGGTTACGGTGACTGGGGCAGGGGGGGCCGGAGCTCTGCGCAGCCTCTGGTCTGGCTCTCTTTGGCCAAATGCTAAGTTGTATCGCAAAGGCATGTGTGATGATCAAAAGTGTCGAGCGTGCCAGCACGAGGTTGAGACGCTGGGCCATTGTTTTGTTGAGTGCCCAGCGCTGACGCAGCGCCTTTTGGACGATGAGGAGGATTGTGGTCTCGATCCCAAGCTGGCCTCAGCTCGCGACGCCATGTTGGAGCATGGGCCGCTTGGAGAGGGCCGTCAGGATGTTGACTCTTTTGCCCTCTCTGTCGGGATTCCCAGGTGGCCCAAAATTGAAGTGCCGCCGCCGCCTGAGTCGCCGCCCTGCTTTTTCTGGGGAGATTGGGAGTCGGATCCTGAGCAGTGGGGTGGTTGTGTTTTCACTGATGGCTCGGGATACCACAACGAGTATCCTGAGCTCCGTCGGTGCGGGTGGTCCGCTGTCATGCTCAACGCCAATGGAGCCCCCACTCGTGCGCTGTATGGTGGGCTCGCAGGCGCGCAGCAGACAGTGGGCCGTGCAGAGCGCGTGGCGGGCCTCAAGGCCCTACAGCACATGCCGTCGGTCCAGTGTGTGATCTCCGACCTATTGGAATGTGTGCAGGAAGGCCATCTTTGGGGTCAGGGAGAGACTGAGGCCCTGACTGATGCTAGCCGTGCATACCCTGCAGTGCGGCGCAAGCTGGTGGCGCTGAAAAGAACGCCGCCTGCCTTCGCATGGGTCCCTTCCCACAGGACCGAGGATGAGGTTCTCTTCCCCGCCCCCGAGGACCCTCCGCCTCCTCCTTAACTCTGGGTCGTGGGGGATGACTGGGCCGATTTTTTCGCTAAGCTGGGAGCCCTCTCGGTCAAACTCCCTGGGGCCCATGCTAGGTTCTATAAGGCCTCGATGGCCGAGGCGGCTCAGTATGCCAAGTATCTGTCGTGGGCGGTCCAGAGAAGCTGTCAGCTCGAGCTGTGGACTGAGAAGGCAGTCCTGTCGGCCGCCCCGAGCAGAGCGCCCAAGGCAGATGGAGCCAGAATGGTGCTGCTAATACACGAGCATGACCTCATCGAAATTCGATGGAAGCTCATGCGCCGTCGCTGCCGCCGAACGGCGACAACCGCTGAGGCGCGCAGGCAGCTGACGGGAGGCACGGATCGTCGGTGCGTGCCTTCTGCGATTTCTCGCGTGCAGGCAAATCTGATCGAGGCTGCTGCCGGGGCCCCTGTGAGGCCGCCGACCGCCCGCTGGGGGTCTGTGGGGGGGGGCGCCTAGTGGCCCTGGGGGTGCCCGTGTGGTTGTGGCCTCGGCTGGGCCCGCTCCTGCTGCTGCGAGGCTTGGGCCTGCTGGGGCTGGGGGCTTGGCTGGGGCTTTCGCTGGCGCTGGGTATGGGGGCTCGGCGTTTTCGGCTTCTGAGGAGGCTGCGCGCGTGGGGCCTGTGCCTGCCCGCGAGGGCGGGGCTGGGGCCCCCTTGGGGTGTGCTGCGGGCTCTGTGGAGCCTGCGGTGGCGGATTGGGGTCACGCGCCTGGGGGACACGACGTTACCGCCACGGGCACGGTCGTCTGGTGTCGGCGGTGCGGGGCCTACGGGTCCGTCAGGGTGGGGAAGGCCTTCAGCTCCCCCTGCCCTGACCCCAAGAACTTGCCCAAGAGCAGGAGGTCAGTCCTCAGTGCTTTGCAACGTGGCAAGCACCCCAAGACTGGGCAGCCCCTCGCTGGGTGACTGATCGTCTGGGGCTTTCACCTTCCGTAGTGTGGTGTCTGTGAGCAGACGCTTTCTCGTCACCAGTTCCCAGTTCCCTCTTGGCCCTGCTCCTACCGCGCCCTCCCTGCTCCTTCCGCACCGGCCCCCCCGTGACCCATCATCCGAGCCCCTCCCCAGTTTGCCCTCCGCCCGATGCGCAGGCTCCTGCTGCGCCTCCCGCGGACACGCTGGAGCCACCCGAGGCACCAGCGGAGGCGCGCAGGGCGGGAAGGCATGCAGGGCGGGGGCCTCCTCCTCGGGATCCTGCTGTTGCTGCTGCCCGTCCTCCTTCCTCTTGGTTCCTCGACCACGAGCACGGGGGCGGCACGATTGTTGACATGTGTACCTGCGAGGCGAGGTGCACTTGTTGGTGGTCGGGGATCTGCGCGCGAGTTTTGTCGCCGATGCGCATGCTTTTTGCGCGTACTCGCTGAGCGGTGCTCAAGCTTCCGTGCAGGTCGGAGAAGGGGCTGCGCAAGCTGTCTGGGCGCCTCGGTAGGGCGTGGCGCGGGCTTCACCCCGCGACCAGGATACCTCTACAAGTCCCCAGCCGCCTGTCCAGCGGGACGGCAGCGCAATGGGAACCGTGTGAAGCTGGTACTGTACCACTGGTGTTGTTGTTCGCCTGACGCCCGCAGGGGACCATGCCGGCCTTTACAGTTTCAGGTTATATTTCCCCGTCTTCTCCTCTTTTTCCCTCACCCGACGGCCTCCCCGATGCGTGTGCCTGTCGCCTCCTGCCCAGGTTCCTGCTGAGCCGCTCGCGGATACGCCAGAGCCGCCAGAGGCACCAGCGGAGGCGCGCAGGGCGGGAAGGCAGGGTGGGGGCGTCCTTCGTCTTCTTGTCCTTCCAGCTAAGCCCTTCCCTGTCGCACCACCAGAGGTGGCGTCTGGGCGGGAAAGCAGGGCGGGGGGCGTCCTCCTCATCCTCCTCCTCATCTTGATCCTGCCGCTGATAGTTTCCTTCCTCGTCCTTCGTTTGGTCCGGCAGCTCCTCCTTTGCCCCTTGGCTGACGGCATGCCCCCCTTGCTGTCCAGCGGGACGGCAGCGCAATGGGAACCGTGTGAAGCTGGTATTGTGCCTTTGGTGTTGTTGTTCGACTGACGCCCGCGGAGGACCATACTGGCGTATACAGTTTCAGGTTAGATTCCCTGTTTTCTCTTTTTGTTCCCTCACCCGACGGCCTCCCCGATGCGTGTGCCTGTCGCCTCCTGCCCAGGTTCCTGCTGAGCCGCCCGCGGATACGCCAGAGCCGCCAGAGGCACCAGCGGAGGCGCGCAGGGCGGGAAGGCAGGGTGGGGGCGTCCTTCGTCTTTTTGTCCTTCCAGCTAAGCCCTTCCCTGTCGCACCACTGGACGTGGCGTCTGGGCGGGAAAGCAGGGCGGGGGGCGTCCTCCTCATCCTGCTCTTCGTCTTGATCCTGCCGCTGATAGTTTCCTTCCTCGTCCTTCGTTTGACCCAGCAGCTCCTCCTTTGCCCCTTGGCTGACGGCATGCCCCCCTTGCTCTCTCTCTTTTCTGTTCCCTCGCCTCCTCTCCGCTTGCTCCCTCTCCTCGACTGCTTCCTGTCTCCTCAAGACCCTGCTGCGACTCCTCGTTCCTCGTCCTCGTCCTCCTCTTGGCCCTGCTCCTACCGTGCCCTCCCTGCTCCTTCCGCACCGACCCCCCCGTGACCCATCATCCGAGCCCCTCCCCAGTTTGCCCTCCGCCCGATGCGCAGGCTCCTGCTGCGCCTCCCGCGGACACGCTGGAGCCACCCGAGGCACCAGCGGAGGCGCGCAGGGCGGGAAAGCAGGGCGGGGGCCTCCTCCTCCTCGGGATCCTGCTGTTGCTGCTGCCCGTCCTCCTTCTCTTCCTCTTGGTTCCTCGACCACGAGCACGGGGGTGGCACGATTGTTGACATGTGTACCCGCGAGGCGAGGAGCACTAGTTGGTGGTCAGGGATCTGCGCGCGAGTTTTGTCGCCGATGCGCATGCTTTTTGCGCCTCCTCGCTGAGCGGCGCTCGAGCTTCCGTGCAGGTCGGAGAAGGGGCTGCGCAAGCTGTCTGGGCGCCTCGATAGGGCGTGGCGCGGGCTTCACCCCGCGACCAGGATACCTCTACACGTCCCCAGCCGGCTGTCCAGCGGGACGGCAGCGCAATGGGAACCGTGTGAAGCTGGTACTGTACCACTGGTGTTGTTGTTCGCCTGACGCCCGCAGGGGACCATGCCGGCCTTTACAGTTTCAGGTGATATTCCCCCGTCTTCTCCTCTTTTTCCCTCACCCGACCGCCTCCCCGATGCGTGTGCCTGTCGCCTCCTGCCCAGGCTCCTGCTGAGCCGCCCGCGGATACGCCAGAACCGCCAGAGGCACCAGCGGAGGCGCGCGGGGCGGGAAAGCAGGGCGGGGGCGTTCTCCTCATGCTCCTCCTAGTCTTGGCCCTGCTGCTGGTGGTTTTCTTCCTCGTCCTCCATTTGATCTGGCAGTTCCTCCCTTGCCCCGTGGCTGACGAAGGTGCACTAGTTGGTGGTCCGGGATCTGCGCGCGAGGTTTGTCGCCGATGCGCATGCTTTTTGCGCATACTCGCTGAGCGGCGCTCAAGCTTCGGTGCAGGTCGGAGAAAGGACTGCGCAAGCTGTCTGGGCGCCTCAGTAGGGCGTGGCGCGGGCTTCACCCCGCGACCAGGATACCTCTACAAGTCCACAGCCGGCTGTCCAGCGGGACGGCAGCGCAATAGGAACCGTGTGAAGCTGGTACTGTACCACTGGTGTTGTTGTTCGCCTGACGCCCGCAGGGGACCATGCCGGCCTTTACAGTTTCAGGTGAGATTTCCCCGTCTTCTCCTCTTTTTGCCTCACCCGACCGCCTCCCCGATGCGTGTGTTTGTCCCCTCTCGCCCAGGCTCCTGCTGAGCCGCCCGCGGATACGCCAGAGGCACCAGCGGAGGCGCGCAGGGCGGGAAGGCAGGGTGGGGTGTTCTCCTCATGCTCCTCCCCGTCCTTCATTCGATCTGGCAGTTCCTCCCTTGCCCCGTGGCTGACGAAGGTGCACCAGCGGAGGCGCGCGGGGCAGGAAGGCAGGGTGGGGGCGTCCTTCGTCTTTTTGTCCTTCCAGCTAACCCCTTCCCTGTCGCACCACCGGACGTGGCGTCTGGGCGGGTAAGCAGGGCGGGGGGCGTCCTCCTCATCCTGCTCTTCGTCTTGATCCTGCCGCTGTTAGTTTCCTTCCTCGTCCTTCGTTTGATCCAGCAGCTCCTCCTTTGCCCCTTGGCTGACGGCATGCCCCCCTTGCTCTCTCTCTCCTGTTCCCTCGCCTCCTCTCCGCTTGCTCCCTCTCCTCGACTGCTTCCTGTCTCCTCAAGACCCTGCTGCGACTCCTCGTTCCTCGTCCTCGTCCTCCTCTTGGCCCTGCTCCTACCGTTCCCTCCCTGCTCCTTCCGCACCGACCCCCCCGTGACCCATCATCCGAGCCCCTCCCCAGTTTGCCCTCCGCCCGATGCGCAGGCTCCTGCTGCGCCTCCCGCGGACACGCTGGAGCCACCCGAGGCACCAGCGGAGGCGCGCAGGGCGGGAAAGCAGGGCGGGGGCCTCCTCCTCCTCGGGATCCTGCTGTTGCTGCTGCCCGTCCTCCTTCTCTTCCTCTTGGTTCCTCGACCACGAGCACGGGGGTGGCACGATTGTTGACATGTGTACCCGCGAGGCGAGGAGCACTAGTTGGTGGTCAGGGATCTGCGCGCGAGTTTTGTCGCCGATGCGCATGCTTTTTGCGCCTCCTCGCTGAGCGGCGCTCAAGCTTCCGTGCAGGTCGGAGAAGGGGCTGCGCAAGCTGTCTGGGCGCCTCGATAGGGCGTGGCGCGGGCTTCACCCCGCGACCAGGATACCTCTACACGTCCCCAGCCGGCTGTCCAGCGGGACGGCAGCGCAATGGGAACCGTGTGAAGTTGGTACTGTACCACAGGTGTTGTTGTTCGCCTGACGCCCGCAGGGGACCATGCCGGCCTTTACAGTTTCAGGTTCTATTTCCCCGTCTTCTCCTCTTTTTCCCTCACCCGACCGCCTCCCCGATGCGTGTGTTTGTCCCCTCTCGCCCAGGCTCCTGCTGAGCCGCTCGCGGATACGCCAGAGGCACCAGCGGAGGCGCGCAGGGCGGGAAGGCAGGGTGGGGTGTTCTCCTCATGCTCCTCCCCGTCCTTCATTCGATCTGGCAGTTCCTCCCTTGCCCCGTGGCTGACGAAGGTGCACTAGTTGGTGGTCAGGGATCTGCGCGCGAGGTTTGTCGCCGATGCTTCTGATTTTTTGCGCATACTCGCTGAGCGGCGCTGAAGCTTCCGTGCAGGTCGGAGAAGGGGCTGCGCAAGCTGTCTGGGCGCCTCGATAGGGCGTGGCGCGGGCTTCACCCCGCGACCAGGATACCTCTACAAGTCCACAGCCAGCTGTTGTTGTTGTTGTTGTTGTTGTTGAACATTATTTATTCTAAAGAATAATTATTGTTGGGCCCCCTGGTGCGCGCCCCCCCTGCGCCGCCTAGGCCGCAGCTACATTTTCATCATTTTCGTGAGGAAGCCTCAGAAAAGAGGGTGTGTACAGGATCCGGTTGTTTTGTTGTAATCCGCTTTCCCTTGCAAAAAACAATAGAAAATGACATTTCTTGTTCTAATATAATCAAATTTCAAGAATCCCTTGCAAAAAATAAGGTAAAGTGGACATTCGCGCGCGCAAGACGAAATCCTTCCAAAACCTTAGTGTTCGCAGCGATTTTAACATAAAAACATCAAAAAACCAATGGTTTTTCAACAAAAAATTGTCAAAATCTCATCCCGCGCGCTCTTGCGGATTCGTAGGAAACCCAACACTTTTTAAACATTTCTGTCAAACGGGCTTTTGCGAGCAACTTTTTCGAACTTCTGCGACAACGGTTGCGCACCTGCCAGGGCCATCATCCCTGTCAAATAATACCATGCGGGACACATTCGTTTTTTCTTCGCGCGCGCACGCCGTCGTCGTCGGCCGCGGGGCCCTGAATAGTAGCCACGGTCGTCCGCATGCCACGAAGTGAAGTGTCCGAACGTCATAGGGCGGGAAGCTGGGTGTGGGTGGTGGCGAAGAGTCGTTTGGAAATTTGGTAGAGCTTGAACCGGCCCCCCCACAAAGTGGGGGTATTGCCCGCCTCCTATGAAAACCCTGGCACTGGTGAGAACGGAGTGTCCCCACGTGCTAGTAATTGTTGTTGTTGTTGTTGCTGCTGTTGTTGTTGTTGATGTTGTTGTTGGTGTTGCTGTTGTTGTTGTTGGTGTTGTTGTTGCTGTTGTTGTAGTTGTTGTAGTTGTTGTTGTTGTTGTTGGGGTTGTTGTTGTTGGTGTTGCTATTGTTGTTGTTGTTGTTGTTGTGGTTGTTGTTGTGGTTGTTGTTGTGGTTGTAGTAGTAGTAGTAGTAGTAGTAGTAGTAGTAGTAGTAGTAGTAGTAGTAGTAGTAGTAGTAGTAGTAGTGGTGGTGGTGGTGGTGGTGGTGGTGGTGGTGGTGGTGGTGGTAGTTGTTGTTGTTGTTGGTGGTGGTGGTGGTGGTGGTGGTGGTGTTGGTGTTGGTGTTGGTGTTGGTGTTGGTGTTGGTGTTGTTGTTGGTGTTGTTGTTATTGTTGTTGTTGCTGTTGTTGTTGTTGTTGTTGTTGTAATTGTTCGCGAGGACACTACTGGAGGCCCGTTGCTCGACCCCCCCCCCCGAGCAACGCCGCGGGGCCACGCACGGGCCCCGCAGGGCCCCTGGTCCGAGCAACGCCACGAGGCCTCGCCAGGCCGCTGCGGGGGTCTGCAGGGCCCGGCGGCGTTGCTCGGAAGGTTCTTTTCGGGGCTGCTGCGGAGTCCCATACAGGCCCCAAAGGGCGCACCCCTCTCACGGATCGTGGCCCTGGCCCCACAGGGAGCTCCACCGAGGTTTGATTCGGCGCACCCCTCTCAAGGATGGTGGCTCAGGGAGCTCCACCGAAATTTGATTTCGGCGCACCCCTTGCAAGGGTTCCGTTGGAATTCTTTTTACTTAACAGCGTTTGCTGATAGGTTTGTAGTAGGGGCAAAAGAGAGCATCATGACTCCTCAGGGGGGTCTGGGCGGGTGCCGGGGAGGAGAACCGGGAATCGTTTTCGCCAACAGTCACACACTTCGTGCTCTTCGACCTCCCAGAACTCCACTCCCGGGCCACATTCTGGAGAACCGGGAACAGAGCCGGGCTCGCTTTTCGCCAACAGTCACACACTTCGTGCTCTTCGACCTCCCAGAACTCCATTCCCGGGCCACATTCTGGAGAACCGGGAACAGAGCCGGGCTCGTTTTTCGTCAACAGTCATACACTTCGTGCTCTTCGACCTCCCAGAACTCCATTCCCGGGCTACATTTTGAGTGCCCGGAGCCAACTGTAGGCCACTTCGTGCTCTTCGAGTTCCCAGAACTCCATTCCCGGGCCACATTTTGGATGCCCGGAGCCAACTGTAGGCCACTTCGTGCTCTTCGATTTCCCAGAACTCCATTCCCGGGCCACATTTTGGATGCCCGGAGCCAACTGTAGGCCACTTCGTGCTCTTCAAGTTCCCAAAACTCCATTCCTGGGCATGATTTTGAATGCCCGGAGCCAACTGTAGGCCACTTCGTGTTATTTAGTTCCCAGAACTTCATTCCTGGGCGACCTTTTGAATGCTGACGCAAGCTGATGCTGCGGCCGAGGCAGGCTGAGGCTGAGGCAGGCTGAGGCTGAGGCCGAGGCTGAAGGCAGACTGAGGCTGAGGCTGAAGCAGACTGGGGCTGAGGCTGAGGCAGGCTGAGGCTGAGGCTGAAGCAGGCTGATGCTGAGGCAGGCTGAGGCTGAGGCTGAGGCTGAGGCAGGCTGAGGCTGAGGCAGGCTGAGGCTGAGGCCGAGGCTGAAGGCAGACTGAGGCTGAGGCTGAAGCAGGCTGAGGCTGAGGCTGAGGCAGGCTGAGGTTGAGGCAGGCTGAGGCTGAGGTTGAGGCAGGCTGAGGCTGTGACTGCGACTGCCGTTGCCGCTGCGAGTGTCATCGCGAATGCGACTACGACTGCGAGAACAGCAGAATTCTACAACTGGATTTTCATCTGAATCTTAAGGGGCATGCTTTCAGATATGTTTCTACATATCGCTGTTGGGTTGCTTTGCCGGGATAATTGAATGTTATAAGATTCCTACAGGATCCTACAGGATTTTCATAGGTCTCCTATAGGAATTCTCAGGGATCCCTACAAGGCCCTACAGGATTCCATAGGAAACCTATAGGAATCCTGTTGGCATCCTATAGGATCCTTGCAGGGTCCTACAGGAATCCACAGGAATCCGTTTGTAATTCTATTGGAATCCCATGGGATCCCTACAGGGTCCTACAGGATTCCATGATAATCCGATTGGAATCCTTGAGGAAACCTTTTAGGATCCCTGCAGGTTCCTACAGGACTCCATCGGACACCAATTGGAACCCTGTAGGGATATCCTGTAGGACTCCTATAGGACCCCTACAGGGCCTTAGAGGATCCCATAGGAATCCGATTGAAATCTTATTGGAAGTCCTATAGGGTCCCCACAGGGTCCTACAGGATGCCATAGGAACCCTATAGGGGTCTTATTGGAAATCCAGGAGGGGCCGTACAGGGTCGTACAGGATTCCATAGGAACCCTATTGGAATACTATTGGAATATTGTGGGATCCCTACAGTGTCCTACAGGATCCCATAGGAATCGCATTGAACTCTCATTGGAACCCATAGGGTCCATACAGGGTCCTACAGGATTCCATAGGAATCTTCATTGCAATCCCAGAAGGTCCCTACAGGGTCCTACGGGATCCCATCGCAATTCCATTGGAATCCCATGGGGCTCCTCTTGGAATCCTATTTAGATTTACGTCAGCGTATGACAGAGGTGTTGCGCGTTGCTCCCCCAACTGCAACGTGTGGCCTGGGGGAGTGCGCTCGCCCCGTGGGCGAGGACACCACCACGGGCCCCGCCGGGGTGGCCTGAGAGGTTGTCATTGCGTTGTTGTTGTTGTTGTTGTTGTTGTTGTTGTTGTTGTTGTTGCTGTTGTTGCTGTTGTTGCTGGTGTTGCTGTTGTTGCTGTTGTTGTTGTTGTTGTTGTTGTTGTTGTTGTTCGCCTGACGCCCGCAGGGGACCATGCTGGCGTTTACAGTTCCCTGTTATATTCCCCGTCTTTTTGTTCCCTCACCCGACCGCCTCCCCGATGCTTGTGCCTGCTGAGCCGCCCGTGGATACGCCAGAACCGCCAGAGACACCAGCGGAGGCGCGCAGAGCGGGAAGGCAAGGTGGGGGCGTTCTTTGTCTTTTTCCTTGCCAGCTAACCCCTTCCTTGTCGCACCACCGGACGTGGCGTCTGGGCGGGAACGCAGGGCGGGGGCGTCCTCCTCCTCCTCCTCCTCCTCCTCGTCTTGATCCTGCTGATGGTTTTCTTCCTCGTCCTTCGTTCAATCTGGCAGCTCCTCCTTTGCCCCTTTGCTGACGACATGCCCCCCTTGCTCTCTCTTATGTTCCCTCTCCTCCTCTCCGCTTGCTCCCTCTCCTCGACTGCTTCTGTCTCCTCAAGACCCTGCTGCGACTCCTCGTTCCTCGTCCTCGTCCTCCTCTTGACCCTGCTCCTACCGTTCCCTCCCTGCTCCTTCCGCACCGACCCCCCCGTGACCCATCATCCGAGCCCCTCCCCAGTTTGCCCTCCGCCCTAAGCGCAGGCTCCTGCTGCGCCTCCCGCGGACACGCTGGAGCCACCCGAGGCACCAACGGAGGCACGCAGGGCGGGAAGGCATGCAGGGCGGGGGCCTCCTCTTCGGGATCCTGCTGTTGCTGCTGCCCGTCCTCCTTCTCGTCCTTGTGGTTCCTCGACCACGAGCACGGGGGTGGCACGATTGTTGACATGGGTACCTGCGAGGCGAGGAGCACTAGTTGGTGGTCAGGGATCTGCGCGCGAGTTTGTCGCCGAAGCCCATGTTTTTTGCGCATGCTCGCTGAGCGACGCTCAAGCTTCAGTGCAGGTCGGAGAAGGGGCTGCGCAAGCTGTCTGGGCGCCTCGATAGGGCGTGGCGCGGGCTTCACCCCGCGACCAGGATACCTCTACAAGTCCACAGCCGCCTGTCCAGCGGGAAGGCAGCCCAATGGGAGCCGTGTGAAGCTGGTACTGTACCATTGCTGGTGTTGTTCGCCTGACGCCCGCAGGGGACCATTCTGGCTTCCACAGTTTCAGGCGGGATTCCCCGTCTTCTCTTCTTTTTCCCTCACCCGACCCCCTCCCAAATGCGTGTGTTTGTCCCCTCTTGCCCAGGCTCCTGCTGAGCCGCCCGCGGATACGCCAGAACTGCCAGAGGCACCAGCGGAGGCGCGCGGGGCGGGAAAGCAGGGCGGGGGCGTTCTCCTCATGCTCCTCCTCGTCTTGACCCTGCTGCTGGTGGCTTTCTTCCTCGTCCTTCATTTGATCTGGCAGTTCCTCCCCTGTCCCGTGGCTGACGAAGGGGCACTAGTTGGTGGTCAGGGATATGCGCGCGAGGTTTGTCGCAGATGCGTATGCTTTTTGCGCGTACTCGCTGAGCGGCGCTCAAGCTTCGGTGCAGGTCGGAGAAGGGGCTGCGCAAGCTGTCTGGGCGCCTCGATAGGGCGTGGCGCGGGCTTCACCCCGCGACCAGGATACCTCTACACGTCCCCAGCCGGCTGTCCAGCGGGACGGCAGCGCAATGGGAACCGTGTGAAGCTGGTATTGTGCCTTTGGTGTTGTTGTTCGACTGACGCCCGCGGAGGACCATACTGGCGTTTACAGTTTCAGGTTAGATTCCCTGTTTTCTCTTTTTGTTCCCTCACCCGACCGTCTCCCCGATGCGTGTGCCTGTCGCCTCCTGCCCAGGCTCCTGCTGAGCCGCCCGCGGATACGCCAGAGCCGCCAGAGGCACCAGCGGAGGCGCGCAGGGCGGGAAGGCAAGGTGGGGGCGTCCTTCGTTTTTTTTTCCTTCCAGCTAACCCCTTCCCTGTCGCACCACCGGACGTGGCGTCTGGGCGGGAAAGCAGGGCGGGGGCGTCTTCCTCCTCCTCCTCCTCGTCTTGATCCTGCTGATGGTTTTCTTCCTCGTCCTTCATTCAATCTGGCAGCTCCTCCTTTGCCCCTTTGCTGACGACATGCCCCCCTTGCTCTCTCTTATGTTCCCTCGCCTCCTCTCCGCTTGCTCCCTCTCCTCGACTGCTTCCTGTCTCCTCAAGACCCTGCTGCGACTCCTCGTTCCTCGTCCTCGTCCTCCTCTTGGCCCTGCTCCTACCGTTCCCTCCCTGCTCCTTCCGCACCGACCCCCCCGTGACCCATCATCCGAGCCCCTCCCCAGTTTGCCCTCCGCCCGATGCGCAGGCTCCTGCTGCGCCTCCCGCGGACACGCTGGAGCCACCCGAGGCACCAGCGGAGGCGCGCAGGGCGGGAAGGCATGCAGGGCGGGGGCCTCCTCTTCGGGATCCTGCTGTTGCTGCTGCCCGTCCTCCTTCTCGTCCTTGTGGTTCCTCGACCACGAGCACGGGGGTGGCACGATTGTTGACACGTGTACCTGCGAGCAAACATCACGTCATATCAAATCCACGAGGAATCTGGAAGCGTGGCTGCTGGAAGTGCTGACATATTGCGCCCCGCGACGCCGGCGCAACACCAGGCCCGATCCGATCCGGTTCCTCAGATCCTGCAGCTCCTCTTCCCCTCTCCTCCTTCCAATGCCCATGTGCGGCCATCTTGCCCCTGTTCCCCCCCCCGATGCCGAGGCCGCTGCTGCGCCTCCCGCGGACACGGCGGAGCCGGCCGAGGCAGCAGTGGAGGCGTGCAGGGCTGTGTGGCCGGGCTTCGGGAGTTACTTCTTTCCCCCCCCCCCCCCTCATGCTTTTCCATCGAGAGAGGGAGAGAGACAGAGAGAGAGAGAGAGAGAGAGCAGTGCGTGCGCTGGAGGCTGCGCGGGAAGAGGTGTCCCAGAAGGCGGCGATGCATCGTGCTGGGATGTACGCACTGGACACGGCCGACGAGGAGGAGTCCGAGAGGAAGGAGTCCTATGCGGGTCCTGGCCCCCTCTGGCCCTGGGGAGCAAGAACACGAGGGGGAGCAGGGAACCCTGTCCATCATGGTTTTTGGCCCTCCTAACCTAGGTCCCCAAGGTTAGGGGCCTCTTAATTTTGCTGGTCACGAGAGGAGCGTGAAGTCCTCTTGGAAGACGGCCAGGCCTCTGGGGTGAAGGCCAAGGACTGCCCGAACCCGGCGGGGAGCCAATAGGGGGAAGCTCTCCGCGGTGTCGGTGTGATGCCCGGGGAAGCGCCGGGGTGGGGGTGTTGGGCGTTCGGTAACGGGGGGGCGATACCTGGCGGGGCGTCGACGGTTGCACGAAAAGGGCCCTAAAGGGGCCCTAAACGAGCCCCCTAGGACCCGAAGGGGTACGAAGGGTGCACGAAAGGCGTACCTTTCTTACCCCCCCTATATTGGGTCCTCCCTGGGCTCGTCATCAGCGGGAGCCTCGAGGGCGCTCTGGCGCGGCCCCTGTGCGCAGGGTGGTTCCGCCCCCCCCCCCCCCCTCTCCGTGGCATGCGAGGGGGCTTGCTCCGTTGATTCTGTGCGTTCCCTTGTCCCCGCCTCCTGTTCCTGCTGCTGCTGCTCCTGGTGCTGCTGCTGCTGCTGCTGCTGCTCCTGCTCCTGCTCCTGCTCCTGCTCCTGCTCCTGCTCCTGCTCCTGCGGCTGCTCCTGCTCCTGCGGCTGCTCCTGCTCCTGCTCCTGCGGCTGCCCCTGTTCCCGCTGCTGTTCCTCCCGTTCCTGCTGCCGCTGCTGCGGCTCCTCCTCTTCCGGCAGCCGCCCGCTGCTGCTCCTGTCCCTGCTGCCGCTCCTCCCCGTTCCCGCGCGGCCTCTCGGCGCCTCCGGGCAATCACCGCGGGACCGCGGACGCCCGCGTTTTTATGTGCCGCTGTCTCTCTCGCTGGCACGCGCTCGCGCAGGGAGGTGGGCGCGCCCAGTCGCCCGTCCACGGTCGCTCCTGCCCCTCCTCCCGCAGCCTTTCTTCTTGATCCTCCACCCCCTCCTCGCCCTCCTCATTGCCCCTGCCTTCATCTTCCTCGTCCTCGTCTCCTCCGTGCCGTCGCCGTGCTGCGTCTCGTCTCCTCCGCTGCCTCCTGGCTATGCTCCTCCTGCTGCTCATCCGGTTCGCCCTCCTCATATCGTAGCACCCGCTCTCCTTTCGAGTGCCGAGGCGCATCGCATGGCGTGTGGTTGAAGCCGTCTGGGAGTCTGAGGTGTCCCAACACTGGTTCTGGCCAACAGGAGGGGCGGGCAGGTTGGAGGCTCTGGGTTCGGAGCGTTGTCGTTTTCAGCCTCCTGGGGCCGTTTTCGGGCCCCGCGACCGTGAAACACGGATCCAGGGTGACTCATTCCACCAGACGGACCCTGGGAGGGTTCCGGGAACAGATTTTTTGGCCGGAATTGGCGTCATATCCCCCATCCTGCCGATTTTCTGAGATCCCAATCAATCCTGTGATCGTTTTCTTATTCACTGTTTCGCCGATCGGCGTGCCTCGCACCCCCCCCTCTCCCCCCGCCCCCCGTGGAGCAGATCTTGGTTGTTTCTGGCGCCCGTTTCGAGCAGGTGGAGCATTTCCCCCATAGGACGCACTGCAGCAAACAGTCGCATTCAGCAGAGGTCGGGAGCCAGACCCCCTCTTCCCTCCCCCCCCTCCGCCCAATGTCGAAACGCCGAACAAGGAAACGTTTGCCAGCTCCCACTGGCCGCCTCCACGCGTGTGGAGTTCGGGGCTCAAGAGACGGGGTCAGTGCAAACGGGGGTCAGCCAGAGCGCCGGATCTTGCAGGATCCTGCAGAGGCCAGGGTCGCACTGACCCGGGCTTGGGCGCAGGATCCTGCAGGATTTTGCAGGATCCTTGGCGCTGACCCGGGCTTGGGTGCAGGATCCTGCAGGATCCTGCAAGGCCCAACTGACCCAGGTCTGGATTGACGCGGGTCAGCAGATCCCCGAGGAGTTCCAGTCGGCCCCTCCTCGCCTGGTGGGTTTCTCCCAAGGGCTTTGGCGACCCGTCTTCCTCCTCCTCCTCCTCCTCCTCCTCCTTTTCCTCCTCCCTCTCCTCCTCCTCCCTCCTCCTCCTCCTCCTCCTCCTCCTCCTCCTTCTCCTCCTCCTCCTCCCTCCTCCTCCCTCGTCTTCCTCGTCCTCCTCCTCCTCCTCCTCCTCCTCCTCCTCTTCCTCGTCGTCCTCCTCCTTCTCCCTCGTTCCCGCCTCTCTTTTTCAGGTTTCTCCTCCTCTCTGCCTCCTGTTCTTCTGAACGTTCTGATTTTACTCAGCCATTTCACATCGTTCTCCGCCTGGCTGTCGTCCCCTTTCCCCGTTCCTTCTCTTCCGCCCTTGTCCTGCTGATAATCCTTTGCTCGCGCTGTTCATCCTCCTCGCTCTTCTATCTGCACCCGCTCTTCCTCCTCGTTCTCGTCCTCCGCCTCGTTGTTGCCATCCTTCTCGTCTGCCTTTTCCCCCAATGTTTTCCCATCTCCCCCTCTCCCTCCCTCCATGCTGAAGAGCCTGGCAAGGTGCTTGTGGACTCCGCTGCCACCTTCGCCCTTCGCTGAGAATTAATTAGCTTACATGACGTGCCGTCTGAGTGCATGTTTCCGCTGTTTCTTTCGTTCATCATGCAGCACCCAAGGCACCACCAACGGTGAAGCAGCCCAGCTGTAGCCTAGGGTCTCGACCATAATGTACAGGTGCAGTCGCGAGGACCTCCGAGTGCTGCGCGTGCCAGTCGTGCACTCATTCGCATGCCGGGCACACAAGAGGAGGGAGATGGAGGAGGAGGAGGAGGAGGAGGAAGAGGAGGAGGAGGAGGAGGAGGAGGAGGACGAGGACGAGGACGAGGACGAGGAGAGGGAGGTCCTCGCCTCCTGGTCCTTCTGGCCTTCCACCCCCCCTCCACTGCCGCTCGCTCCCCCTCTGGCGGCTGAGGCGCGCCAGCCATTCGAGACGCGGAGCTCAACTCTGTGAACAGGCACGTGGTGCCCATAGGCAACTCCGCTGGCAACTCCTGCTCGCTCCCCCCGCCCTCCCTCGGCCCCAGGCGCTCGCCGCCCCCGCCGCCAGCGTGCCGACACTGGCCCCGGTCCAGGCGCCGCCAGAGGTCATGGGCCTGTTTTCCTCCACCACCACCATAAGTCGGCGGGGGGGAGGAGGTTGAGGATGAGTGGGAGGACGAGGAGGAGGAGGAGGAGGAGGAGGAGGAGGAGGAGGAGGAGGGGGAGGAGGAGGACCCCCTCCTACTTCTGGTGGTGGTGGTGGTGTAAAGCAAGCCCACTAGGAGGGGGGGCGGCTGGGCGGGGGGGTCCTCCTCTTCTGATGGCATCCCCAGATGTCCAACGATGTGGCTTGCTCAAGCCTGGCGTTTTGCCCCTATCTCGGCCTCCGGGGCTCACTTTCGGGCCTCGGGGCCATGAAACGTGGACTCCAGGACGGCAGGGAAGGGGTCGGGACCTCCGGGAGGCCGCGCATGGAAGAGAGGGCGTTGTCGGACCTCTGGGTCTGCAGCCGCATCCCACCGAGTTTCGGCCACGCGCACAAGGGGGTGATGGGGAGGAAGGAAGGCTTCTTAGAAGCATCTCTGCTTCTTAGAAGGCGCGAGCCTTCTCTGTAGATACAGGGCCAGCGCCTTTTAAGAAACAGCCTTCTTCTAAGAAGCCTTCCCCCTCCCCCTGCCCTCCTGTGCGCGCCGCCAAGAGTCGGCTCCGAAGGGGTGGCGACGGGTGGCTTTGGCCAAGAGCCCTGCGGCGGATCTGCTGGCCTGTGGCTTTCGGCGCCCTCTCGGGGGCCTCTGGGGGCCCTCTGGGGGGCGCCTCGGGGGGTGGGCTCCTGGGGGCGTCGTAAGGTCAATCCGACTTTCCCCACCTGGGCCCCTCTCAGTAAGAGCCTTCTTGGATGCAGCGCTCGGCGTCGGGGAGGCCCAGGCGGCGTCATGGCCCCGACATGTCACAAGGGCTGGCCCTTCTGAGCTGGGCCTTCCTCGTTGGCTCGTTGTGGGCTCCAGGGAAGCATCGGAGGCTGCCCGCAGCGGAGCACCCGTATTCTATGGCAAGGCTTCGGGTTGCGCACAGACAGCCCCCCCTAGTCCGGGGCGCGGAGCCCAAGCTGGCCTCAACAGGCCCCCGTCCCAGCTGGCCTCAACAGGCCCCCCCATGCAGCCCGGGGCGGTCTCAACACCCTGGCACCGCCTCCAGCGGCACGCAGCGTCGAACAGAGGCTACCCCCTTCTGTCCATCGCGCGTACGCGCGCGCATGCGAGTGAGCACCGTCGGAGCGAGGGGGGCCTCGCCCACGCGAGTCCATTCATCCCCGGCCGTACGCGCGGTGGCCAGCTGGGCACGAGCAGCCGTCGTTGCGAAACCGCTTGTTGTTCTCGTCCTGGCCCAGGGGTGTGTGGGGAGGAGGAGG